CGCATATATACGGCTTGATTGAGCACATGGCAGATGTTTTGAGTGCTCAATAAGCTATCGCCTTATTATTAAGTAATATAACATAAGTTTTTCACAAAATTTCGTGAATATATTCTTATTCTTCTTTCTATATATTGTATAACATATTTCACGAAATATTTGTACGTATTTTTAAAATTATAATTAATGAGTGCATTGTTTCACTACATTTTACTCTCGCTTTAAATTTCTCTCTCGCATTACTAACTGATTGTATTGTATTTCTTTATAATAGGACTGTCCGGAGATGTTATACGATAAGCTAATAATGGACTGTTGGCAAAAGGATCGCAACCTGAGGCCTACATTCCCTCAAATTGTTAAAACATTAGATAAACTAATTAAATGTCCCGAGAATTTGCAAAAACTCTGCAAAACAACGAGGTATGGGCTTTATTACATGATTAATCACATTATTGTTTAAGTTAAACATGTTAAACTTTAACATTCACTTATATTTTGTATTTTTATCTATGATTTGATTTTTAACGCCTTTTTAAAAAATACTAAACCTATAAGTTTTTAATTGCATTTAATTTACCTTTTGTGTAAAACATGATAATTCGCTGTGTTTTACCCTAATTTTTTGGTTCCCCAACAAAATACAACAAAATTAATGCAATTTTCTTGTTAATACTTAAATAGTTTATTTTGATTTTCATTTCGAGGTTACAACACCTCATGGTATGGATTTCCTCCCAGTCCTGTCTCTGTCTGTCTGATTGTCTGATCGTTTTGTTTAGTTTGCGTAATACATAATCACATCAATTCAATACCTTTTTTATTCAATTTCTCATTTAATTTATATATGTTTTCCGTTTATTTTTTCCATTTATTTATGTCTTTTCTGTTGAGAAATTTACATTTAAATGATTTTAGTTTTATTTTTTTGTGTGCCAAACAAAATGTGTGTCCGACCCCCACATTACCTCTCCCGCCCCCTCTTTTCACTCTAAATCATTCAAAAAAGTATAAAATTTTTTCGAATAATTTAAAACGATTTGTTTTTTGTTAATTTTAACTCTTATTTATAGTATTATTTAGTTTTCAATAATTTTCTTTTATAAATTATAATACGATATACTTATAAATAGATTATACGGCACAAAAAAATAACAAAATTATTTAGTTTTACGAATCAATGAAATGAGACGATAATTTTTGAGTTACACCTCTTTTCCTTCATATGTTATATACATTTCTTTTGCATAAAATAAATATAATTCACATTATTTGTTGTTTTTTGTTTCGGTAGTAATTCTTAATGGGATGTCATCTCAAGTATAGGAATATAATTAACATTTTATTTCATTTACAATATAACGAATTCCTATGCATTTTATTGAATGATTTTCAAACAAAACGCTTAAAAATCAGACTCATTTGCATTGAAACCAGAATTTAGTTTATGATTATTTGTCTCTCTTTTTATAATTACAAATAAAAATTCATTGATTTATAGAGCAATAAATCTAATAATTATATGTATTTTATTTGCCATTCCTGTGCCCACCCGCGCACTCACACACATATAGGTTAACTCTGGACCCGTTTGGTGAGCCCAACACTATGTGTATACCCGATGTCATCCAATTTAAATCTGTGGACGAGTGGTTGGCCAGCATTAAGATGACTCGATATCGGATGAACTTCGAGCAGTCGGGAGTGACCAATCTGTCGGCTGTGGCCCGACTCACGGCCCAGGATCTGGCCATCATTGGTGTGACACTAGTTAGTCATCAGAAGAAGCTTATGAATGGCATTCAAGCGCTTCGGTTACAGACCAGTATCGGAACGCCCGAAGGTTTTNTATAAAGAAATACAATACAATCAGTTAGTAATGCGAGAGAGAAATTTAAAGCGAGAGTAAAATGTAGTGAAACAATGCACTCATTAATTATAATTTTAAAAATACGTACAAATATTTCGTGAAATATGTTATACAATATATAGAAAGAAGAATAAGAATATATTCACGAAATTTTGTGAAAAACTTATGTTATATTACTTAATAATAAGGCGATAGCTTATTGAGCACTCAAAACATCTGCCATGTGCTCAATCAAGCCGTATATATGCGCCCGTATAGTACAGCCCCGGCTATCATCGTATAGAGCAGATCATTAGGCAGTCATTAATTACCGTCTAAAGTGGAGCGCCGACAGCTCTTAACCCCCACTTCTGAGCTAACATTCACACATTCATACACTACAGACCCCCCTCTCCCCTATGAAAACACGACTAAATACTTTATACTTATTAAGAATTGATGATATATTTTAAATATTAAAAGTTTTAGCAAATTGTAAATATGAGTGCATATAAGAGAGCGGACGCAACACAATGGCAATGAAGACATACCATAGGAGGCGGGAGTCGGTATCCTTTTTCAATGCCTTTGATGACATCTTGGTTGGACCAATTCCAATAGGGTCGCTCCCCGTACGACATCACTTCCCAACACACTATACCGAAAGACCACACGTCCGACGCCGACGTGAACTTCCGGAAAGCGATGGCTTCGGGTGCTGTCCATCGGACGGGTATTTTGCCGCCGCGTGTGGTGTACGCGCCTTCCGTTGCGCTTTCAATCTCACGCGAAAGCCCGAAGTCAGCGATTTTGCATATCAGTGTCGAGTTAACCAACACATTCCTGGCCGCCAAATCCTATACATCAACCATTTTATAATTACAATTTAGTTCACATTGTAGTTAATTAGCAAACAACTTGGTTATATACACATACCCGGTGAACGTAGTTCATTTCGGCCAAATACTGCATACCGGACGCTATGCCCCGTAACATACCGACCAATTGGATTGGTTGAAATTTACCGTCATTTGCCTGCATATTACAGCAATAACATAACATAACATAGCATTAATAGAGAGTTAAATGTGAGGGTCGGGAGTGTATGGGTGCGGACACATACCCTAAGGAAAGCGTCGAGAGAGCCCTGTTCCATGAATTCGGTGATTATCATAATGGGGTTGCTTTTGGTGACCACTCCTTGAAGGTATATCACATTCGGGTGATCGAACTGACCCATTATGGACGCTTCGGTCAGAAAGTCTAGCCGTGGCTTTTCGGCCGACGTTGGCTTCAATGTCTTAATGGCGACCGTCATCTCTGGCCGTCCGAGCAGTCGTAGTTTGCCTCGACATACGTCCCCGAACTCGCCTATTCATATACATCACGTTACATATCATATTTATTTACAGAATATTCTGCATATAATAAGTTCTACCATATAGATAATATAGATAATGATAAATTAAAATGAATAGCAAAGTGCAACAAACCTCCGCCAATGATGGCCTCAATGGTGATGTTGGAGGCGTCGATCTCTTTGGTGAACTCTCTAACGGCTTGAGTGGGGTCTTCATAGGTGTGCGGATCGACGTAAGAGCGCGAAGAAGCG